GCTTTCGAATCTGGTCGAAACACAACGCACCTGTCCTCGAACGGGGCGGAGGATTCCCCCATCGCGCTCTTTACACGCGACTCTCGCGGGAACGGCATTGCGACAGGGACTGCGTGGGATTGGTGGGGGGTGCGGAAACAAGAAACCCCGAAAGCTCGAGAAGGCCGATATAGCCTGAGGGTTGGGAACAATGCCAATGCTCACACGTGTGGCGAGGGACCAGAGTTTTGAAAGGATAAGTGAACCCAGATCAACGCCGGGGGAAGAGGTGTGGTCGAATCAAGGGAGGGGTCGGTGCTCGCAAGAGAGAGTGAAGAGCAGACTTTGCCAACGTGCCGCGGGCGGCCGACACTGGACGGGCCCGACAAGGAGAAACGGAGGGACCACAAAGGAAAGAAGCCGCCGTTGATGCCACGACAACTAGGACAGAGGCACGAGAGAGTGAAAGAAGGCAGTAGCATGGGATGGGTTGCAGGAAGGCGCACTCGGGTGTATGACTTCACCAGTGGTCATAGCGCGCCTTTGACAAGTGCCAAAGAAGCAAGCAAGCAACAACACCAGGAGACAACTGGGCCGCCACGATGCAGGCGCAAACAGAGGGGCAGAAGGGAGTGGCAAGGAGACTGGACAACGTACTCTGTGGTGGTAGGGGTCTCGACGACTGGGGTCTGTTGACGCGGCTCTGACGGTGCAACCGACGGTTGCTTGGTCTCGACCTCGGCGGCCTCCATCACGGTCGGTGTTGGAGGCGGGAGGCGACCGGGCGAGTTGAGTTGAGCGAGAGAGGCCGTGGTGTCGATGCGCGGTCGCAAGAATCGAGGGAAACCCCAGGTTGGCAGGGCACAATCGATGGAAACTCGCAGTTCAACCCGGCTCTGCGGAGGGAAAGGGGCGATTGAATCCGACGGGAAAATTTGGCGGGTGAGGCGTTGTCGAGCGAAACGGGTTGTGTGTGTGTGTGTGGTTGTAAGAAGACAAGAGGCTAGGGGGCGGACCGGTGGTTTGGGGAGAGTTGACGGCCCCAAAAGGACGGCGGACGCGGTTCGTGTTTGAGGCCAAGATTGAATGTGACTGGGGGAAGTGGAGAAGGGTCGGCGTGTGTAAGGGAAGATGGAGGCTAAGGCGAGTGTGCGAGGCGAGGCCAGGTATTGGATTCCTTCGCCTTTACCGGTTTCCTGTAGCAGTATGTATATCTGCTGCTGCTAGGCACGGGAAAAGGCCAAGCACGATGAGGCGAGAGAGTCCCAGTCGGACTTCTAGTCGCAAGCAGGGCGGACAGGGGGTGTGTGTATGCGTGTATGCGTGTATGTGTGTCTGCGGGCGCGCGTCGAGGTTGAGGACGCTACAGTACGGCAGCCGTACTGTCGTTGCTTGCTTTGGGCTTGTGTCCCAGAGCACGGACGCTGACAGTTCCAATGGCGCGGTCAACAGGCTCCAGCGCGGCGTAAACGAGATGAAGGCGTCTTTAGCGGAGGGAACTGCTGTGGTTGACGGACAACAACACCAGTTGTTGGATGGCCGAACCGGCCAAGGACGGGTTGCAGGAGTTGAGAGCGCCGTGTTGTGTGACAAGGACAGGAGATGGAGCGTTGGGTTTAGAGAGAGAGGAGGACCGTGTGCGAGGCCACGCACAAAACAGGCACGGCGAGGGCACGGCAGGTTGGCTCTGTTGCGGTCTAGACTAGGTCACAGGAAACTGGGTTGTATCGGCGTGTTGTTTGGGGAGTCGGGGGAGGAGGGGCGTACGAAGAGAAAGGACGAGAACTCTGAAGGGCAGGCGAAGGGGGCCGAGAAGAGGGAAGCAGGCGATTGGAGTGGTATGGGAACGAGATGCGATGGGGGAGGGGAAGGCCGAGAGTTTACAGAACGAGCGAACGAGGTTTTGGCGCCGTGGCATACGGGAGAGGACGATAAGGACGGGCGAGAGACACAGGTTTTAGTTTCCCAAGGGAAGAGGAGACCAACCAGAGTTGCGCATCGGGTTTTTATTTTTATTTCTTCTATTTTTCCCTTTGGCCCTTTGATTTCGGGGGTGGTTCCAGTTTAGTGACAAAGTTCCAGCGCCAGTAGATGAGGTGAGAGAAGAAAAGGTACGTACGACCAAGGGGGGCCAAGCCCAAAGCCCAAGGTCCATGGGTCGGGCTTCATGGGTAACGTAGGTTCTGTACGGGCCAGGGACGGATAGGGAAAGGCCGTCATCGCTCTTTCTGTCTTGCTGTCGGAATGGCAGCAAAGAAGCATGTGGACCAGGTGGTTTGCGCCAGCACCTACTATGTAGTGAGTGCCCGTTCTCAGGCCCAGCCCTCGCTTGTTCTCGCCCAGGGCCACGTCGACTTGCATCCCCCTTCCGTTGCTCGCCTCAACAAACACCGCGGGGGAGCTCCCCTACGACAAGCCAAAAACATAGCCAGCCCGAGTCGTACACCTCCCGGCGATAGGGCCAGTCTGAGGCGGAGTGGTAACAAGGCAGCGCGTGCAACCAGGCGGCGGCCATGACTCCACCGATCCCAGTCGCGGTTGTGGCCAAAGTTCCGGTTATTGGCCCGTACGGCTTCCCGGCGGGGCCCGACAAAGTACTATGTACATAGTACAAGCCCTTCTGGCCTTGCTGGCTCGCTGGTCTATGTGCCCGGCTGGTTGGCAATTGGACGGCAAGGCAAGGTGCGATAAACCCTCATGGCACCGTCCTCAACCTTGGGGCTCGGCAGAAGCCCAAAGTATACCCTGAGCGCCCCAGGCAGTTGTGCAAGACAGCCGTAGGCACTGCCTTTTCATGCATGCGCACATGCTTTGCTTACGTTTTCTTGTGTCTCTGGCTGGTTGGCTGGGTTGGATGGGTTGGATGGCAATGTTTGAGTTGGTTTGGCCCGCATTTAGTCCACGTGCAAAGTCCCAACCTAATGTCACAACCTCTTGACTTTCGGCAAGAGAGTGTTTCTGGTACGCGAGGTGTTGCTCCAGTCTCTACCGCGCAACGGTTGCATCATGTGCACGCAGTCTTTTTCATCCTGTGATGATCAAGTGCCCCCCTCCCGGTTTCCCGCCTTGGGTTATCGGGCTTACTGGGCACTCTGTATCGCTACCAGGTCTAGTGCACCTGTTCTGACCGACAAGATGCCATGTACGTACCGGGGCGGACGAGGTACTTGGCCAAGGTACCGGCCGATAGTCACAACTGGAAGCCCGGACGCCAGCCAGCAAACGCAGTTCCATTCCTGCCGTGGGTTCGGTGGTTCGGTGCCCACCCCTGGCTGTCTTGCGGTTGATCTCGTTCCCAGTCGCGGCTGCCACTCGTCACTCGTCTCCTGTTCCTCTCGGAGAGAATCTCGTTGACACGACTGCATCTCGTTCTTCGCTGATGCGAGGCATTCCCTCCGCCTCTCATCTCCTTCACCCCGTTGCCCCTACACCGTCCGCCGCCTCCATCCGCTTCCGGGCTTGACGCCTCGGCTGTCGTTGCCACATCACTTGCAGCAAGCGACCGACCGCAGATGCTCTGATGCAATGCCCGCGAAAAACTCGGCCATGCGTCCCGCGGCTGCGGATCTCCATGCACCTGGCCCCCGGCGCTGGAATATGGGGCCTCTCAGCAGGACGGTGACGAGTCCCACCTGGATCTGCTTCTTGGCCCGATGCCCCTTTTGGAATCCAGCGCCCCGTGGAAGGTTGAGGTACTAATGTAATCATGTTATTACGCTCGCGGTGGATCTTTGGTCTGACACCGCATCGGCGTGTCAGATCGTATCATCACCCGCGCGGCCTTGGTCCCCGTCCACCAGGGCACTGGCCGTACTTGGTGTCCCCAATGTTCTCTTGCGCCGCCGACTTCTCTCCAACCCGACAGCCGGGCCGGCGCATTGCTGATGCTTCTGGCATGCCAATAGAGCAGGGGGCAAGACGAGACCCCGATACTTTGCATCGACAGCTGGTTGTGTACCCAGCTTCAAGCGCTTGCTTATCCCGTGGGGCCCGATCTGCACCGCACTAGCAACCGTAGTGTGCAAACGAGAGGAAAGGAAATGAGGGGGTTCGGGGCACTGGGGGCCCTTCTGCAAGGAACGCTTCCAGCAAACGACGCATCTTAGCATTGCTCAACTCGAAACGCCGCGAGTTACCCAGTGTCCTGTCTAGGAACGTCCGAAACTAGGGGTCTCAAGACGACAAGCAGCCTTTTCTTGAATCGCCGCAGCAGCGGTGCTGGCGCATGAATGTCGCCCTCGTGCGCCAAGACCTATACTGTTCCGTACTGGTTCTGCTCGCAAACTACGCCCTCGCCCAAGGCTCTGGTCGATTGGTTTCCAGGTCGCCTCCCCCGGCCACCAGAGTTCACGCCAGACTTCAACCTTTTGACTCTGGCGCCGGCAAAAGTATGCCGGAGACGTTTGCTACGCTGCTGCGGTACAGGAAGGAATCGTGCTCGTCGCGTCCCACACACGCAAGTATCCTGCTGGGATGGGCAGAAGCGGATTTCATCTGGCGTATCTCTTGTACCGGGTTTCCCCCAAACCCTCGGCGAGGAGTAGGGCAACGGTATAGCGCGCAACTGACGCAGACGACTAAACACAAGTCCCTTGCTCTATTCGACACCCTCTCTACGTGCACCCGTAGTCTTCAAGCACTCGGGTACGTGTATATTCGAAGCGACAATGGAGACGACGGAACGGCAGGGGCGGCAGGCATGACAACGAAAACGAGAACGAAGAAATGGGATAGAGGTGGCAAAGGTATAGCATGGCGGTAGAGGTGTATAGTCCTGAGGCTACCCCTGTATTTCGGAAGACTGTTAAGAGTTCACGAAGGAAAGTCACCACATGCATACACAAACTAGCGAAGGGGGCACCAGTTCTCAACATTGGCGGTTGAGCCAATGAAAGCGCCTTGTGTAGCTAGTGCAGCCCCACATCGCGACTTTCCGGAGGATGCCCCACTCAAGTCCCCCCCCTCTTGCGCGCTAAGAATACTTGTGTTGAGATTGCATGGCATCTGTCATCAACCAACAAGGCAACATGCCCGAGTGGTTAAGGGGACAGACTTGAACCAAGCCGGTCTCCGATCGGTGTATTCTAAGGTATCTGTTGGCTTCGGCCGCGTAGGTTCGAACCCTGCTGTTGTCGCATATCTTTTTGGTTTTTTCGCTACCGACACTGTTCCAGCTCCTTCCTCCCGTTTCCCAAAGGCTCTTGTTGCCGGGGTCTTTTTTATTTATTTTTATTTTATTTCTCCTACTCTCTCCTCCTTTTGTTTCCTTCTAGCTAGGTTTCGCGCCCCACAAGCCATTCCCACGTTGAAGCTCTCGCTATACGCAACGGTCTTGACACACGGCCGGCGCCCGTGATATGCCCCCTTTCAGCCAGGAACCCGTCATTGCACAAACTCACCGGGCATCTGCCCATGCTGCAGCCGAGCCGAGCCGATGATGGCGTTTGCCGAGTTGATCGCATCATGCTCCCCGTGGTGTCGGTGAGCAACAGGCCACGATTCCGCCACACGCGCGTCGGTAAGCGTGGCAGCAAGGGATGGGCGAGCGCGCCCGGCAGGTGCCCTTGGTGCACTCTCCCCGCCAGGCTCGGCTGATGAACAGAGCTTGCCTATGCGGTACTCCGTGAGCGCTTACTACTCCTGACGTGACGACGAACCATACGAGGCGAGGTATATGCCCGACGAAACTCAACCCGCCCCGTCGCTGACAGCCCGGCTGGCCGGGACGACTGTTGCGGACGGTTTAGCTTCACCCCGTGCGTGCAAAGGGCCCTGCCGTCGTTCTGTTGTCGCCCGAGCTCCCCTCGCCGCGATGACTCCTCGCCGCGCTCTCGTTCCTTGAGAAACCCCGAACATTGCTGCGCTCCCGTCGCCAAACATCCGCCGCATCCCCCTCGGCCAGCGGCCGACTCGGCGCCGCGTCTCAGTCTTCCGATTCGCCTCCCCAGCCGAAAGCCTGCCGCTTCCCAATGAGTCAAACCCGAGGGACTTGCTCGCCCGCGGCCTTGGGAGGCGGCCACCCTAAACCAGCACGATGCCTCATGCCCCCTCTGCGCACTGCTTTCTCCCATGTAATTCCGGCGTCGAGCCTCTCGTCGCCAACACTGTCCGGCATAGCCCACGGCACCGGCAGAGGGGTTCGTTCGTTGGCTGCACGGCCTCGGGGAGTGCCACGCCGTTTTGCTCGCCCGCACATCCAGGAGCGTTGCTGCCAGCATCGACTGCGTGGGGCGGCCGCCCGCGACGTGTCCCCACGGCAGGCGGGATTCCGGCCGACGCAATTGGCTGCGCGCGCCCGTGTCCCACCCGGTGCCGGGGACCGGGGCTCGGGGCTCGGCAGGGTCTTGCCCAGCCGCACGTCGACGGATCGCCGCTGCGATTGACCGTCGCTGTAATGGAAGGCGGAATCGCCGCTCCATAACGACTGGCGTTATAGGCTCGAGCTTCCTCTTTCGTCGGGACGCGGCGCGGTTGTGCGCGGCTAGCCGGGCGGGGCGACCTGGCCCGTTTCGCTGACACGAAATGCCCGTCTGGACAGCCTCTCCAGGTTGCGAGCGCAACCCGTCGCGGATCATGTTCCTCGACTCGACAACCGTCCCATCCGCCCAGGACAGGGTTGGCAAGGTTTCGACGCCCCTCCGTCGCCGCTGCCAAGCCCGGGGGGCCTACCTGGGTTCGAAATGACATGTTGCAAGCTCGCACGACCTCCAGGGTTCCGCAAGCGCACGTTGCCAAGTCGCGGGAGCCTAGGGCGAGCAACGAGTTGACGGCGAGTAAGTGACCGAGGGACGGGGTGTGCGACGGGAACCTAGAGACACCTTTGACTTCCCCCTCCGTGTTTACGCCCCCGATCCCGCGGGAGGCGGCAAAAGTCTAAACCGGGAGGTCTGGCGACTTGAAACAGTTGGCATACAGCAGCACGTAGAGCTCACAACTCGTAGAAGGCGCCGTCATGGGGCCGGGCAGGCTGGGGGTAGAATGCTCTCGGGAAAACGAGACGGGTGGTATGGCCATTTCCTATCCGCTGTCGCGTCTTGCGCGCGCAGGCGCAGACCGCCACAGCCCTCGGCGAGCCGCGAGGCTCTCTCGCCGTGTCTACTTCTGCACGCGCTGGTCTGGGTATCCCGTGGAAGCCGTCCACTCTCGCAACGCAACCACCGATGCGGCATTTCGTCCATCACCGGCCACGTCCCCTCCCCCTTGCGCCGCCCCTGCCCCGTCCACCCCTCCCCCCCCTCTTGCCTCCGCGGAACCCGCCTCGGGTGTCGAACCGCTCGTACAGCCTCTCCTCGCCGAACGCCGCCTGCCCGAGCCGCATAAAGTTCACCAGCCCGCGGTCCACCACCGCGACCAGCACGTTGCGGTACCCGTGCCTGAGCCTCTGGTACAGCCGCCCCGGCCCGCCCATCGTCTTCGGGTCGGGCGGGTCGTAGGGCGTCGAGTCCAGCAGGGCCGACACCTCCTCGAACGACGGCACCGCGTCGTCCCGCGCGTCGGCGACGGCGATGCGGATGTCCGGCGGCGGGAGCTCCGTCACGCGCAGGCTCGGGTGCTTGGACGGCTTCCACACGTGCCAGTGCACCTTGTACGGGTCCGCCGGCGCGACGGGCTCCTGCGCCGCGGGCGAGGGTTGGTACCGCGCGAGGAGCTCGAGCTGCTTGTAGACGAGGCTGTACTGGCGGTAGACGCCCGGCCTGACGAGGGGCCCGCAGGGCGGCGGCGCGGGCGCGGGCCGGTCGAGCAGGGAGACGAGCCACTGCCACAGCGACCTTCTCGCGGGTTGGGGCTGGGGCGCCGGGTCGGCGGCGGGCGGCGGCGCGCGCTGGACGTAGTATCCCAACCGCCGGAGGTGAGAGTAGACCTGGTATTTCGGCAGCGTGATCTTGCCGCGCTCGCCGTCCATGCCGATGAAGAGGGCGTACGCGGCCTGTAAGCTTAGCGGCACGCCCGTCTCGAACTCGTCGTCGGCGTCCCCGTCGGCCTCCTCCGCTTGCTCCGCGTCGTGCACGTGTTCCTCCGCAGCCTTGCTCTCCGGCGGCGGCAAGATGTCTCCCAGCTCGCGGTACGGCCACCAGAGGTCCAGGCTGCCCCTCTCGACGAGGAACAGCGCCTCTTCGGGCAGCAGCCACAGCTTGCCGACCGCTGGCCTCGGCGCCTTGAGCCCTCTGACGACGCGCCCCATCGACTTGGCCTGCGGCCCCTTCAGGTCCTCCACGACCACGACCCGCTCCTTGGCGTACATCGGCCCCGTCTCGGCCAGGAACTCCCGCAGGTACTCGGGCCTCGCCAGCCCGGACGCGTCCCCCGCCTCGGCGGCCTGCAGCGTCTCGGGCCAGTAGTCGGGGAAGTACCACCCCTTGCTCCAGGCGTCGCGGTGCACGCGCGAGTACGAGAGCACCTCCTCGATGACCTGCCTGCTCGTCTCGAGGGCGTTCTCCTGCGCGCGGGTGCCGTGCGACTCAAAGTCCTTTTGGCCCTTGCGCACGGCCTGGCTTGCGACGCCCTTCTTGTTGAACATGGAGGCGAAGAGGCGCATGTCGAACAGCCCTTCGTCCTCGGCCTCGTCGCCCGCGCCCGAGTCGTTTTGCGGCTGCGCCGCCGGCGCCGCCGTGGGGTTGTCGTCGTCGTCGAGGGGCATACTGGCCGTCGTGGGCAGGTAAGGGTTCTCTTCTCTTGGTGTCCCGGGGATCGATGCGCGCTTTCTCCCGTTTCGGTTCGTGTCTGGCGTTGTTTCGGTCGGGTTGGTTGGCCGGTCGGGAGGTGTAAGAGTCAAGCAGAGAGCGCGGTGTGAGTCTGGCCGAGATGGCCCCTCCAAAGAAAAGAAAAAAAATGGGCAAGGTTGCCGCGAGGGAAGGAGCTTGCAAGCTTTGGCCAATTGGCGTTGCACCCGTTAGCGCGCCGAGACCAACGTTGCCAGCGAGGAACCACTGAAAGCTGGCACCATGGACCCTGCAACGTGCCTCAACCCAGCCACATCCAGGAACCTGAGACGACAAATGTGAACCAGCCGCCGTTGTGCGTGACGTTCTTTGCAACTTGCAACTCTGCGTTGCGTTGACAGCGGTTTCGAAGTGATGACTACACTGTTGGGAGGCCGTCCGTACCGGCGTGCATGTCCACCAACAAGTACCTCTGGGTGACCGACTCGAGCGAGTATCGGGGAGTTGGCATTTCGCGTTGGCTCTACAGTGCAAACGGCACGCCCTATTTTTAGTGTATTGATGATGAAGATGATGATGATAATTTCTTCACCCGAGTTTACCGTTCGTTCTTAGGGTTTTTATTTAATTATTCTAGTTTTTCAGCCCCTCTCTTCTCCTCTCGTCCACTTACAAGCAGCATGCTGCAGTGCGCCGCATATGCTGAACGAGACCTCTTTGCCGAGAGAGCTTACTTGATTAAATATCAACCAAGCTCTCCCAAGCCGACAGTATCGTACAGCTGCAGCTGCAGCTATTCGCAGCGCGGACGAGAAGAGAGGACGGTTTTCCAGGAGGCCCTCCAGGTCCTCGTCCAATCCACTCCTTTCCGCAGACAGCAAAAGTCACGGCGAAGCCAGATCCTGCACTCCAGCTCTTCCCCAAAAGAGCTGCCGTAGCCGGCCGGCCTCCTCGAATACCAACGGACCCTGAATTTATTCCTCCATCATCATGGCCCCATCCAAGCACAACGAAGAGCAGAAGCACTGCATCCTCTTCTTCGAGAAAGAGGGCGTGTTCATCGGTGGCGGTAACATGAAGATCGGTTATGACACCGAGATCAAGACTTCCATCATCTGGTCCAACCCGATCCAAACCGATGCCTACGTCGGTGTACAACTCTGCATACCAACCAGAAAGGAACCCGGAATCTCCTCAATGCGCAGTCGCTCCGCTGCTCAGATTGTCGACACTTTGAACATCAAGATCAAGTTCACCAAGACGGGCTTCTTGGACATCAAAGGAACCCCTGGTAAGGAAACTGTACTTGCAACAAATTTCACCAAGTATCTTCCCGACAATGAGGATTCGACCAAATGGACTGCAGTTAAGCTTGTGGGTAGACGCCCCGTCGTGGAAGGGTTTCCCCTGCCATTTATTGGCGATGAGCCCTACCACAGCTGGGTCAACCTCAACGCGCCCATCAAAGGCGGTAT